GCAGGAGCACCTGGCCCAGGGGAACTGGGCGAGGCACGCGCCACCCCCAGGCCGCGCGCGCCTGCCAGGGCCGCCGCCCGGAGCAGCGCGGGCGGATGAGCTGGAGGTTCCGTTGCTGGCGGAAGCGGCGGGCCAGTCGTGGCCAGCGCGGACAGCTCTGCGCGGAGGGGCGCGGCCCTTCGCCCCGCTGCGGCACTACCTGATGCCCGACGCGGAGCCCTTTGGCGAGCAAGCGGCGGCGGCGGCGGCGGCGGCGCCCCACCTCGCGGAGGAGACCTTCTGCGAGCAGGCGGCGGTGGCGGCGGCGCCCAGCCTCGCGGCGCCCCTCGGCGAGCAGGCGGCGGCGGCGGCGTCGCCCAACCTCGCGGAGGAGCCCTTCGGCGAGAAGGCGGCGGCGGCAGCGGCGCCCGACATCGCGGAGCCCCTCGGCGAGAAGGCGGCGGCGGCGCCGCCCTACCCCGCAAAGCCCCTCGGCGAGCAGGCGGCGGCGGTAGCGGCGCCCTACCTTGCGGAACCCCTCGGCGAGCAGGCTGCGGCGGCGGCGGCGGTGGCGCCCTACCTTGCGGAACCCCTCGGCGGGCAGGCTGCGGCGGCGGCGGCGCCCTACCTCGCGGTGTCCCTCGGCGACCAGGCGGCGGCGCCGCCGCCCCACCTTGCAGAGCCCTTCGGCGAACACTTCTTCGATTGGATCGACGACTCGGAGCTCTTCGGCCCGGGGGGGCCGATTGAGAGGGCGCATTTCCTCGACCGCGCCAGCCTCGATGCGCTGGCGGCCGCGTCCACGGTGCAGCGCGACGCTGTGGATGAGCTCTGGCTGTGCGTGATAAACCGGGCCAGGGGCGACCACGCCGCAGGGTGCGACGTGGACATGGACGAGTATATGTGGGCAGTGGCGGCCGAGGCCGATGGACTCGGCGACAGACTGAGACGGTCGCAGTATGGGTTGCGTCTGCGCGGGGACCTTGGGAAAGGGGGCCCGAACACCCAGTGGGTGAGTGAGCCTGCCGCGACGCCGCGCCGAGACCGATCGAGGTCTCCTGCGAGAGGTGGGGGGGGGGGCGCTTCGGAGTAATGTAGCTGATGGAGCAGTTCGGGGGAGACCGCCTGTCGGCCGCTTCCGCATTCGGGAGAGCGGGGTCATCATCGTCATCATCGTCGCCATCATCACCACCATCATCACCATCATCATGATCACCATCATCTGCATCAACCCATCATCGTCATCACATCTTCATCGTCATCATCACCATCGAACTCTTCACCGTCGTCGTAATTTTCTCAACCATCCTGTGTTGGGCCTTCGCATGGAAGAGACAGCGCCCCGCGTCACCTTTCTCCCGCTGCCCCCCTCCCGCTGCCCCCTCCCGCCTCTTCCTCCTCCTCCTCCTCCTCCTCCTCCTCCTCCTCCTCCTCCCCCTCCTCCCCCTCAGCATCATCATCGCGCGGTCCGTGGCCCCACGGGGAGCTCCGCCGAAGGCCTCAGTGGCAAAGTTCGCATGCGGTTCCCCGCCCATTTCGGCGCGCCCTTCACGCGGTTCGTGGCCCCACAGGGAGCTTCGCCGAAAACCTCAGTGGCAAAGCTCGCATGCGTTTCCCCGCCCCACGCGGCTCGTGGCCCCAAATGAAATTCCGCCGAAAACTTCAGTAGCACAGTTCGTGTGCGGTTCCCCTTCCACACCCCTCACGCGGCTCGTGGCCACATAGGGAGCTCTACCGAATGCCTCAATGGCAAAGTTTGCATGCGGTTCCCCGCCCATTTCGGCACACCCCTCACACGGCGCGTGGCCCCACAGGGAACTCCGCCGAAGGCCTCAGTGGCAACGTTTGAAATCGGTGGCCCGCCCATTTCGGCACGCCCCTCACACGGTTCGTGGCCCCACCGGGAGCTCCGCCGAAGGCCTCAGTGGCAAAGTTTGCATGCGGTTCCCCGCCCCTTTCGGCACACACCTCACACGGCTCGTGCCCCCAAAGGGGGCCCCGCCGAAGACCTCAGTGGCAATGTTCGCATGCGGTTCCCCGCCCATGTCGGCACACCCCTCACACGGTTCGTGGCCCTACAAGGAAGCCGCCGAAGGCCTCAGTGGCAAAGCTCGCATACTGTTCCCCGCCTTTTTCGGCACACCCCTCACGCGGTTCGTGGCCTTACGGGGAGCTTCGCCGAAAGCTTCAGAGGCAAAGTTCGCATGCGACTCTCCGCCCATGTCAGCACACCCCTCACACGGTTCGTGGCCCCACAGGGAGCTTTGCCGAAGACTTCAGTGGCCACGTTCGCGTGCGGTTCCCCGCCCATTTCGGTACACCCTTCACACGGTTCGTGGCCCCGCTGGGAGCTTCGCCGAAGGTTTCAGTGGCAAAGTTTGCATCGGGTTCCCCGCCAATTTCGGCACACTTTTCATACGGTTCGTGGCCCCGGGGGGGCTGCGCAGAATGCTTCAGCTGGAAGGTTCGCATGCGGTTCCCCGCCCATTTCGGCACACCCCTCACACGGTTCGTGGCCCCATAGGGAGGCCCGTCGAACGATGGACCCAGAACGCAGTATCCACAATTGTTTATGGTTGGACCCTTCGTCCAGCAATTTGACATTGCAGGTTTTTGTCTGCTTTGCATTTTTTTGAATTTCAGTTTCGCTTCAAGGGTTTGAGCTGAGGATTTCGCGTGCGAGCCGCACATGGTTCGGGGACCTCCAACGTATCTGGGTCTGGCTGGTCTGGCATTGTATTCCTCGCTCTTAGTGGTGCTGGTCTGACTGGTCTGGTCTGGCCTGGTCTGGGTGTATGTGGCTGATCTGTTTGGCATGGTCAGTTTGGAGTGTTTTTTCCTTGATTGGCTTGCTTAGTCTGGCGAGGTTGCTCCTCTTGGTCTGCTTGGTCTTGTCGGCAGGTAGTTCTCGAATCCGATCCAGATTAGGTGGTCTCATCGGTTTGTTTGCGCAGGCTTCTTCTCGTATCTGGTCAATTCAGTTGGTTTGCTTTGTTCGGGTCGCTGGGCTTGCCTTGGTTAGTTGTTTGGTCTGGTTTGCTTGTTATTGTCAGGTGTGCTCTGGCAGGTCTGGTCTGATGTTGTTGATATGGCATTGCGCTGCTCGCTCTTATCAATCTTGGTCTGATTGCTCCGGTCTGGTCTGTGCGTGGCTGGTGTGGTTCGCATGGTTAGTCTCGCTGATCCGCTTTGCATGGTTAGTTCGAGGTGGCTGCTATGATATCTGGTTGGTCTGTTCTGTTTGTCTTCTTGGTCTTGCGTGGTTGTGCCACCTGGTCTGGTTGGCCTGGTCGACAGGTCTTCCTCGGATCCTATCCAGGTTAGGTGGTGTCATCTGTTTGTTCACGTAGGCTCTTTCTCTTGTTTGGTTAATTCAGTTGGTTTGTGTTGGTCGGGCTGCCGTTGGTTGGTCTGATTTGCTTGGTATGGTCTGGTCTGCTCTGACTAATCGAGCAGGTCATCTGGTGGGTCTGGTCTAGTCTGGTTGGTCTGGCCTGCCTGGTTGGTTCATTGGTCCTGGTTGGTGGTCGATTGGTTACTGTACTTGGTCTGCGTCATCCAATGATTTGGCTGGTCCAACTAGTTTATCTGGCTTTCCTGTGTCCGCCTGCTGTGCATAAACTGGACGAGGACGAGGAGCAGCAGCAGGATCAGCGGCAGGGGCCACACCAGCGCGTGGATAGAGAGACATCCGAGGCGGATCGGGAGGATGAAAGGGAGGAGAGTTTGCTTCGGCAGCCAGATTCGCGCTTCGGACCGAAAGCAGCGATGGGGCCTGAGAACTTTTCGGTTCTAGCGGCTTAGAATACTGATGATAAGTATGGTATGATGCTGTTGATGATGACGACGATGTTGCTGACGCTGATGATGATAAGGATGATGCTGCCCGCAATTACGATGACGATGACGATGATGATGATGCTGATGATGATGAAAATTGATGATGATGACGATGATGATGATGGTGACGATGATGGTGGTGCTGATGATGATGATGATGGTGATGATGATGAGGGTGATGATGGGGACGATTGTGATCTGCTACTGTTGATGATGATGCTGATGCTGATGATGCTCATGATGATGATGATGATGATGATGATGATGATGACGATGCTGACGATGCTGACAATGATGATGATGATGATGATGATGATGATGATGATGTTGATGCTGATAATGCTGATGACGATGACGATGACGATGACGATGACAACGATCATGGTGATGCTGATGATTGCGATGATGATGCTGATGATGATGGTGATGATGATGATGATGCTGTTGCTGATGCTGATGATGATGATCATGATGCTGATGATGATGATGATGATGCTGGTGATAATGTTGATGATGATGATCATGCTGCTGATGACGATGATGATGCTGATGCTGATGCTGATGCTGATGCTGATGCTGATGCTGCTGCTGATGATGATGATGAGGATGAGGATGAGGATGAGGATGATGATGGTGATGATGATGATGATGATGATGATGATGAGGATGATGATTATTGAGGAGGGGACGGAAGATGATGATGATGATGATGATGCTGATGATGATGATGATGATGATGCTGATGATGATGATGATGATGATGATGATGATGATTGATGATGATGATGATGATGATGATGATGATGATGATGATGATGATGATGATGATGATGATGATGATGATGATGATGATGATGATGATGATGATGATGATGATGATGATGATGCTGATGATGATGATGATGATGATGATGATGATGATGATGATGATGCTGATGCTGCTGATGATGATGATGATGATGATGATGATGATGATGATGATGATGATGATGATGATGATGATGATGATGATGATGATGATGATGATGATGATGATGATGATGATGCTATCGTTGATGATGCTGATGATGATGATGATGAGGAGGAGGAGGAGGAGGAGGAGGAGGAGGAGACTGGTGAACTGACTGGGAGTGAGGTAGGACGAAGGGGGCTGCCTCAGCGGACGACTCGCTCAATCCCAGGACGCGATCGCCGCTGCAGCGGCCACGTCAGCGCTGGCCGCGTTGGAGGCGATGAACATTCGCAGGATGGGCTTTCGAATGGATGTGGCAACAGCCCAGACTTCCGGCGCCCTGGAAAAGCCCGACGGGGTCTTCCGGAGTTTTTCCTTTTGGTGGCCCGTTTCGTGCACGAGGTCACCAGATATCAGCCCATGGCACGAAATCCATGCGAATGTTGGGGTCGACAACCCTGTAGCCCGACGTATTGAACAAAATCAGGATGTCGGAGGTCTGAGAGGTGGAGTGGGGAAAGTGCAAGTGAAAGGCCAGAAAGAGGGAGGGCACGAGGGAGAGGGGGCAGCTGGAGGGCGAGAGGGAGGGCGAAAGGGGCAGGGAGAGTGGAGAGGAGAGAGAAGGCGAGGAGGCGAGGGAAAAGAGGAGGCAGGGGATGGGGAGGGTGATGGAGAGCACACCGGCAACTCCGCGCTCGTCGCCGTGCTGCTCCGGGCCAGTCCGCCCGCAGTCCCCGCTCACGCACATGCGCGCAGGAGGCCCAGGCCAGCTGGGGGGGGGTTCAGCGCAGATCCAAGAATTCCGCGCGGACCTCTACGCGTGGGGTCCGAGTGGATGAGGTCGGAGTGTCGCGCCGCATCGCCGGTGCAGCCGATGCATCGGCGATGTGTGGCTCCATCTGGAGCCTGTTTAAGTGAGAAAGTGCCTGGTAGAACCAAACAGTGGACGCCCGACCCGCGACGAGCACAAGCACTGTTCGGGCTTAACAAAACTAGTGCGAAGAGAGCGCACGCGCTTTTGGCCGCTGCAGGCGCGTGCCGTCCCTCTCACGCTCACGTCAGGCCTCAGCAGAGGCCTGGCTGTGCCGCCAGGCTGGCGGCTCCTCGGCCCGAACCGCTAGGCGGTCAAGGCCGAAAAAGTGAAAAGGACCTACGATGGGCCAGGGAGGGCCTGGGAGGGAAGGGCCCGAGAAGGAACTTGAGCCCCAGAGGGGCCGCGGAGAGGGGGAAAGGGAAAAAGGCAAGAGAGACCCTTCCCCCTCACCAGGCACTACTCCCTGAAACCCTACGTTTTACGCACGCTCAAACTCTCACGTTTAAGTGAGAAAGTGCCTGGTAGAACCAAACAGTGGACGCCCGACCCGCGACGAGCACAAGCACTGTTCGGGCTTAACAAAACTAGTGCGAAGAGAGCGCACGCGCTTTTGGCCGCTGCAGGCGCGTGCCGTCCCTCTCACGCTCACGTCAGGCCTCAGCAGAGGCCTGGCTGTGCCGCCAGGCGGCTCCTCGGCCACCCAGCTCCTCACGCCCCCTCGGCGCCCGTGACTTGCGGGTGGTGCCGAACGGGGCTCACAGCTGGGCACCTCGCTGCACAGCGCGTGCAGGCGTCGGCGGAGCACCCGCCGGCTTCCTCCACCTCTCCTCGGGGACCGCGCTGGCGGGACGCCCCGGCCACCTCCGCCTCTCCTCGGGGACCGCACTGGCGGGACGCCCCGGCCCTCGGCCTCCTCACCTCCGCCCGCCCCTTCGGCGCCCGTGCCTTGCGGGTGGTGCCGACTGGGGCTGGCAGCCCTCCTCCACCTCACTTTCGTACATCGATCCAGTGGGTCGCCACTGCCCCCAGGCCGCTACCCCAGGACTGCGCACAATCCAACCACGGCTCCTCCAGTGTTGACCCGCCTTAGTTCTAAGCTCGCACTCCTGCTACTGTCCTCAGGCTCCCGGCTCCTTCTTCGCACCAGCAGCCGGTCCGTCTCCCGACACACCCGCCTTATATCCTACGTGCAGGGTCGCAACCGACTTCGCCATCGCCTCAGACACTCCGGAGGCGTCCTCATTTGCCTCCCACAGATACTGGTGGAAAGCTCCACTGTTCCACCGTCCCCATCGCTTGACCAGCTCCGTGTCCTGAAAGCAATGGTACAAGGCCGTCGCTCCCCCAATTCGGAGCGAATGACTCTTGAACCTGTCAGGCGGGTAGCCCTCCAACGCTGCTGCCTTCTGAAGTAATCCCTGGATGCGCTCCCGCGTGATCGGGCTACCGTCTTCCCACCTCGCCAGAGGTAGATGTGCCTCTTTGCCCACGATACGGCTCGGGAACCAGTTGTTGTAGCACTCCGCCGCCCACACCGGGCAGATGCCGTGCGGGTCGTTCGACCGGAAGTGGTTCCTCGCCTGCCCTGCTCCCTTCTGGTCCGCCTTCGAAGCCTTAAACCACAGCACCACCTCGTCCGCGGCGGCGAAGTGACTCACCTGCTCGCCTTTGCACTTCGGGGAAATATCCAGCCCGGTCAAGACCTTCTTCAAATCCCAATGCCCCGAGTGAGCATACTCGCCGATCCGCATCATAAAGAAGAACGCGAAGATCACGCAGAAGTACAAGGCGGCGTCGTCCGCACACAGGTCCGGCTTCAGCATATCTCGTATCCTCCTCAGCATCTTGGTCGTCACCGGGAGCTTCCTCTTCCCAGGACCTTGCCAATTCTCTATCCCATTCAACGCCATCCACAGTCGCGGCTTACCCGCCAAGGGGTCGGGCTCACCCAGCATCACATGATGTGAGCTGATCCCCAGCAACTTCGACCGTATCGTGCCGTGCGACCGCTTCAGGCTGTTGTACAGGTGCACCATGAACAGCAGCATCTCCTCCTCGTCCTGGTGACGCTCCTCGCGAGTCTCCCCATGCAGGATGGGCGATTTCCTGCGGATGCGACAGAACGTCGTCCACTGCCTCCAGGCAACCCCATAGGTCGCCTTCGTCCCCTTGGCCACCGAGGCCACCACTGCAGCATCCACCAACTTCAGGAGCTCTGGCGCGTACCCCTCATCCGCGCGCCCGCCGGCACGCCTGGAGTCCTCCCTGGCGATCTGCCTCAGCTGACGCTCGAGCCCTTCACTGCCCTGTCCGCTGCCTGCTGCCGCTTCCAGGTACCGGCTCACCGCCTCCGGGTCGATGCCCTCGGATGGTCCAGCCTCCGGTGCCGCACGCCGTGCCACCTCCTCACGCTCGCACTCCTCTCCTCCCCCGCGCCCGGGGGGGGCCGCGACGGCACGCCCTGCCTCAGCTGCCCTCTGCCTTGCCGACAGCCGGTCATTGGCCATCGAAATGGGGTAGGTCTTGTTGCACATCGGGCAGCACGTGTCCCGGCCCTCACCCTGCACACCGCAATACTCGCACCACGCATAGCGGGCGTCTGGGCCGCCTCCTGGGAAAGGCACTGGCCGACGTGCTTCAACCTCCTCCTCTGATTCCTCGTAGTCCCCCTCCGAGTAGGACTCGGGCGAGTTGAGGTCCCTTACAGCCTCGGCAGCACGTGCAGGTCCACCAGGCCTGAGCGGGTCCTCCTCCGCTCGGTGGCCCGGGGGCTGTGGCCGCCTCTCCGACCCACCGGACCCTCTCGACCCCCCGGAATGGGGTTCCCAACTTCCTGGTTGGGGCAGCGGCTCGCGGTCGGTCCGCCTTCCTGGCTGCGGGAGTGGCTCTCGACCCGGCCGAGGGTGGACCGCTGATGCCTCCGCCCCGGAGCCACTCGCCCGGGGGCGGTCCTCCTCCTCTGGAGCGGACCATAGCCCTGTCCTCTGGAACTCCACCCGCCGAGCGAGCGCACGGTAAGTCTGACCAACCGCCCGCGCGACCTCTGCCGGGGGTTCCTCCTCCGACCTCTCCTCCTGCTTGACAGCTGCCGGTGCGGGCGGGGTCTTCGCCCTTAGATGGATGTACTCCGCCTGCCCTGCACCAGGGTGCCCGGCCGCATCCTTGGGCCGATCTGCCTCCGCCTTCCTCTGCCGGGCAGCGCCTCGCTCCTCATGCGCCCGCCGGGCGAGCTCCCCTGGTGAAGGGGGGGGCACTCCTCGCTTGGACCTCTGCTGCCGCTCTCCTCACCCTGCTCCTCCGCAGCCCCTGACTCAGACCCCGCAGGGGGGGCGGCCAACGCAGCGGCGGCTAGCACCCGGGCGGCAGCCGCTGCGATCTCTTGCTTGCGCTCCTGCTTGCGCTTCTTTCTTACTGCTGCGGTCTCTGACGGCCCCTCCCCTTCCGGGGTTGGCTGACCGTGGGGCATCTTCTCGCAATGCCTGAAGTGCTTCGCGCCTCCTTCTGCCCAGTCCGCTCCCTCCGACCGCCCTGCGCACTTGTTGCAGCAGAAACCTGGTCGCCACAGCGCTCCCCCATCGACAGCAGTCGCGGGTTGGGAGTGCTCCAAGTACGGGCACCCTGGGTAACGGCACGGCCGCAGGGCTTCCCTCGCCTCTGGGGGGGGTGGGGCCTGATCCGCTCCACTGGCGCCCTCTCCCATCCCTTCAGCAGCGGCGCGTCGCCCGGTGGCCGTCCAGGGACCCCAGCTCTCATCCTCAGAACCTCCCGCATGGCGGCTCCTGGTGGCCAACAGGTCTCCTCCAGCACCCAGGAGCTGGCCCTGCGCCTCTCCGGCGGGCGAGCCCTCGGGCTGCAGGCCCTCCCTGGCCGTCCTGGGCGGTGCCTTCGCCACCACCGGCCGAGGTTCCTCCCAGATGGGTGGGAGATGGCCGCCCGGCGCCGCTTTGGGTGGTGGGTGCCCCGAAGCCTCCTCGCCTGCTGCCTGGGCTCCAGGGCCGCCGCTGCCACTCGCCTCCTCGCTCGATGGGGGGCAGTGGCCAGCCTCCCTCTGCCTCTTCTGGAGGTCCTCGTGTCGTGCCTGACAGTACGGCCCATGGGTGTCGCCCTCCGTGTCCCGGCACGTCCGACAGCAGTACCGGCCCCAGTCGTGCTCCAAGCGTGCGCAGCTCCTCCCACACTTGTTCCAGCACTGCGGCCCTCCATCTGGGTCGCGTCCCACTCGCAGTGAGATCACATCGGGGTAGGGGTCGTCGAGCAAGCTCTGCGCTCTCTCCTCTGGCAGCATGCCACCGTGCCGCTCGCTCCTCCTTGCGGTCTCCTGCCGACGCCTCTCGTCGGCTTGGAGCCAGCTCGTGAGCTCCCGTCGTCTCTCCTCGTCCTCTGGGCGGTGGCATATACCCGCCGTCCTTCCTCCTGACTCGGTGGATACCTCCGCTTGCCTGAGGGCTGCTGTTAGCGCAGCCGCAGCTGCCCGCGGGGG